GGTTTAATGTAAGCAGAAGTCACATTTGTAATTTTCAGGAGTGTCTACACCTGTACAGTCTGCATGGTTCCAAGAAGAGCATAACACACAGCGGTACCGTAATTCCCCATTCTTGCCAATTTTTTCACATATCAAACATATCTCGTTAGGTTTGGAGGATGTTACTGGAGAAGATGGTATGTAGCTTAAGTCAATATCGTCTAACTCGTCGTCGTCACATAAGTCGGACAAATCCTCCTCCAATGAGTCATCAGATGTCTCAGGTGTTGCCTCTCTCTTCATTTTTTGTTGGCCTTTAATTTTTTCTCTCTCTTGTGTCTCTGTTTCTTTATCAAATCATCTTACAGTTTTCTTTTTGAGTGTTCTGTCTTTCTCCTTCTTCTTTAGGATTTCTTCTCTTAATATTTTCTTTTTTTTTGTGCTATTTCTAATTCTTCCAGGACAGTTGTGCTTGTAAGTATTTTCGAACATAGTTTCTTTCGATTATTCCTTTTAACTCGTTTGGTAACCTTTTTGGTTGGTATAGGAGCCATGGTTAGAAAAGAGTTCTCTTTAGATGTACTTGGCTGAGGATTTTCGTAATTAACTAAAGCATTTGATCCAGTGTCAGGCAATGAAACATTAGCTTCTGATCCAGTTTCAGTAGACAATGCAATGTTAGCTTTTGCTCTGGATAAGGTAGGACCATCCTCGTTACAATCTTCTATAGTGCAGTTGGATACATTTTTGGAAGGTGCAAAATCATCCTCATTAAATTTATTCGGATTTAATGGATAAATTCCTGAAGTGCGAAATCCTGAAACGGCTTTCTCCATTGTGGCGACTTTCATAAATGCCCTGTTTAATAATTCAGCGACGTCATATTCTGTAATTTTTTGATGACCATAAGAGGATAAGTAAAGATCATATTCTCTATAAAAAGCGTTCTTTAGTGGACTAAAAAATGTTAAATCTAATGGTTGAAGATGGTCTTATGCTCAATCGAAATATAACTTGAATGGTTATCTAGAACCAAAAGGATGGGGTCAGTTGCAGTGGGCTTTATATGTTTTGCAAAATGAGACAGCCACTCAAAAAATAACTCAGAATTAATCCAACATTTATAGACAGCACCTAAGGGTCCGTTTTTTTGAAGAGTTCTTTGCATTCTTTTGCGGGGATAAATAATCATAGGCGGGATGTAATTCCCTGAAGCACTCATACAGAAAAAGCTAGTTATGGTCCTTCCTCTTTCACCGGATGTAGCGGAGCTCACTTTTGGCTTGAACAGTTGTAATACCTGTTACGTCCATGTTGAATATTCGGTTTGGTTCAAATTTAAACTTCTGCATGATGATTTTAAGATTGGCATAAAATAATTTTACATTAAAGGATGTAATCCGATTTAAGCTAGTACCCTCAGGCTGTCTTAGTTTTACATCAGGAAATCTTTTTAAGAACCCGTAAAGCCATGCCTTTCCAGCTACTCCCTTTTCTCGATTAAAGTTATGGACAATATTATGTAGTTCTGCATACCCAAATGCTAGCCTTCTTAGCCCATCAGGTGTCAGTTTAAAAAAAGTTTTGAAAGTAACAAAACATATTTTTTTAACTCACGCTCTATTTCTTTTGAGAATACAGTCTTGCGGCCCAATCGAGGTGGTGTCAGATTATTTTCTAGCAGCTTTTTTCTGAGGGTAGATTCTGGTATGTTAAAAGATTTGCCCACTTCCCTAATTTTTCTTCCATCGTTTCTTATGGCATCCAGTGCATTTTGCAGGCTTTCGACCGTATAGGACAGGATGGCAGTCTTATGTGTGTAACTTCTAGGCATCTGGAAACAATAAATAAACTTACTATGACTGCTTACTATTTAATAACATGAAGGGGAATCGTGCGCATTTATGCGCACGGTTACCCGTTTATGTTTTATAAATCCATGATACGACAAAAAACTATTTATTTACTTATCATTCAAATGTGCCAAAGCATTAAAAAAATACTAGATTATAAAAAGACATCTCATTTTAAACGATTGAAAAAAAATTGTGCACTTACCGCCTTATTTTCTGATGCCAATAAGTTATAAAGATCCGTTGAAAAATCGATAAGTCTATTTCACGGCGGTGGTATGCAAACTGACGTCACTAATGATCGCGCCAGGAATTGAGCCATCGCGCCATCGGCGACTAAGAATTTAGAAAAAATTGAATAATGCCTAATCTGCTTGAATTAGAATAGGGAAATGGGGTATCATTGTTTGCAAAAAAAAATAAATTTCAAATATTCAAATATTTTCTATAAACAAACTTAGCTTGTCGTAGGTACCCAGTTCAAAAACTAGGTGTAACCAAAAAGCCAGGCGACTAATTTTTAAAAAATTTCAAACTCAACTGTGACCGAATCGCAAAATAAATAAGAACAAGAAATTCTCTAAAGTTTGTTAAGTATTTAAATAAACACTTGTGGAGTTTCTTCTTTTCTAATATCTTTAAACAAAGATGTAAAATGGTTCTAATCTAAAGGCATCATTTAGAAATTATTATAAAATTTCAAAACATACTGTATTAAATAAATATCAGTTTTAAAAACAACCAAATTATTACATCCTGTTTATCTTTTATTTTTAATTAAATTATCCATCAACCGATTATCAAATAAAAACCAGCCAAAACAGAAAATCAAGAATCTCTTACTCACGCAAAAAGTTAACCACATAGAGTAAGTTTTCTCGAAATCAACGTCACATTTAAGACGGCAACAACACATATAAAACAAAAACAAAAGAAATCTCATTTTGCAGAGACAAGCTTAAAAAAACGAAGACACATATTACGTCAAACATGAAATGCCAAGATATAAACTCTGAGAAAAATGAACATTCTTTATAGTGAAGGTGATACACAAAGATTTGCACCACAACAAATTACTTTACATCAGACTTTAAAACGACAGAGAGAAAAACAATTTGAACAATATTAGTAAAAGTAAATAATGAAGAAAATGAATATACAATAAATTAGGATATCCGCAAAAGAAATAATAAATTAACAAGCCACAGTATGCTGCTAGAGAGTAGCATATTATTTTATCCACGAACAGTTTTTAAGAGGGTAAATGGCCACTAAGGAAAATTCACGCCTTAGTTTGGAACATTTTTTGAGCTCCAGTTTTATTTAATTGATTTTCTTTACAATCATGTGATGCATCTATCAAAATGATTTGAGTAGCATCAGATGGAGATACGGAATTTTGAAGGGATCTTCATGTTCTTGACTTGTTAAAGGAGTTGTAGATAAAAACTATAATTATTGTGATCTCTACAGTAAATGGTCTTTTAGATACAATGGTTTATGTTATGTTGATAATGGGGTGTTAATACACAGTGACCTAAAAGATCTATTGTGCCCCCTTTTGTCGCCACTGCACTAAGGAAATGTCTCAATGCCTATAGCGACTCTTGCAATCTTATTTTCTCAGGGAAGTGTAGGATTTGAAGTGGCTTCAAGTTAGGTAAGTCTCCCTCTTCTATTTGGTATCCTAGATATAGTGCCCTTGGATTCTGGAGTGCTACACATTCAGTTAGGATATGAATGGAGGTTTCGTCCTCCTCCTTACAGAATCTGCACTCACTATCCTCTACTACTCTCAGTTTACTTAGGTGTCCTTTTAGTCGGCAGTGCCCGCTTCCGATCTTTTTTGGTTATATTCACCCAGAAGTATCTTGGCCTGTCTCAGCCACAGGAGATTTTTCCAATTATCGGTTCTTCTACTACCCAATTCTTTTTTAATCTCTCCTAATATTATGTTACTGCTGATACCGCAGAACGGCTCAGGTCCTACAAAGGGTGTTTGAGCCTCTTTCCTTGCAAGACTATCTGCAATCTCGTTACTCTGTACCCCGTTATGTCCCGGGACCTAAGTGAGAGTAACTCTATTTTTCTCGCCTAGCTCATTCAATTATTCTAGGCATCTCCAGACCATTTTTAAGCTGATTACGTAAGAACTCAGCGCTTTGATGGCTGCTTGACTATCGGACATGATGATAATCTCTTGTCTATGATAGTTTCTCTCGAAGTTAAACTGGATACACTTCTCGATGGCGTAAATTTCCGCCTGGAAGATGCTTGGGTATTTTCCCAAGCTTTCGGAGTGCTTGCTTCTCGGCCCATACACTCCTATTTCAGCTCCTTCTATGAGTTTGGAACCGTCCGTATACCACTGAATAGCACGTCTTTCGGTTGCAAGCGCGATGGATTCTTGGCTTCATTCTTTCTTGCAGCCCAGCTCTGTGGTTTTGAAGTATTTCACAAAAACTGTACTTCATTTGCATTTCATCCTGGGGCATGTCCCAGGTATCTTTAGTCCTGAAGCAAGTAGACTTTCGTCTGATTACTCCGTTCCTGATCATTCTATATCGTGTCCTTTTTGCCACATTCTCTATCATCAAATGTAGAGGGGTGAGGTTTATAATACAGTCATAAACAGAGCCTGTATGTTAATAGGTCATTTTATAGGACTTCTCTTCATCAAAATGTTTTTCGATTTAATGTTTAAAAATTTCTATGTATATTTATAAACAGAATTCAAAATTATATAACGGTGGGTTAAGTCAGATACCATTATAGATATCTATATAAAAGATTAAAACGATGTTTTTGTATATGATAGATAATAATGAAAAGGATAAATGGAATAAGCAGGTACTAAATACTGAACCATAGATCATAATTTAACAAATCCATTTGAAAAACTTACTTTCTCGATAAAGTGTCAAACGGAGAGGTGGTAACTAAGCGCAAAAAGGGACTACGTTATGTTTCTAGTTGATATGCGGTTTCCCGGAAGTACAATTTATTGGTGGTGAAATTAGTTGTAGAATTTGTGACACAGTAGTATTGTGTAAAATGAAATCACATGTTTTAGAACATATTGGAACCGACAAGCATAAAGCACGCTGAAGCAGAAAGAGAAGTGGTATAGAACTACAAAAACAGTTTAACTTAGATTTAGTTAAAATTATGGTAAAGCAAAACGTTTTCTGGAACAAATTACCTAATTCCAAGTTAAGACAATTTTTGGAAAACTATAACAATGTTAGTGTACCTGCAGAGTCAACCCTAATTAACCATTTGTCGCTAGTGTACAATAAAGTTGAATCTAGAATCAGTTCAGAATTGAGTGACAAAGACTTTTCTGTTTCTGTTGAAGATAGTACCAATGTCAAAAGGCAAAACATCGCTAACGTGTTAGTTGGAGGGATGGAAGAGTTGGTTCCATTGCGAGTATTAGAAGGCACAAATTCCGAAACAGTATCTGAATGTGTGGATGATAGTCTAAAATCAATGTGGGGTGAGAACTATGAGATTAATAAAGGACGTGTTCTGTTATTTTTAACAGATGAAGTTGCATGTATATAGGCAGCAGGTCGACGCCTAAAAAACATATACACAAATTTAGTTCACGTGACGTGTTTGGCACATCGCGTCGCTGAAACTGTCAGAGACTGTTATTCAAATATTAATTTCCACTATCAAGAAAGTATTTTTAAAATTACCATCACTCACAAATAGTAGTTTATGTTACAAGGATGAAAAGTTGAGTTTTTCGCGCGATTACGACTGGTAAAAGTCCGAAAGAATCACTTTTCGTCCATGTTCCATGGATTGTTTTTTATTCGAATGTGCTTGGATCTCATAAAATATATAGAAAATTAAATCTGAAATGATATTATTTCCAATAATTTTTTCTTAACTAAGTTGGCTATGAAAACAATTGAACAATTTCTGTCGCAACAATGTGCTCATGTCAAATTATTTAATTACTTAGTTTATTAAAAATTGGTGTCACAAAAAAAATACAAAAATAAGTACAGACGGAGAATTTATTACGTCCACGCCCCCCAGAAATTAGAGACGCATCAAATTTGGCGTCTTTGAATTTAATTCAAAAAAAAAAAAAAAATCAAAACTGGTATATGAAAGATCCTACCTCAGATTTGAGAATTCCAATCGGTATGCAACACTTTATACATTTAACTCTATAAGCCATCTGTATTAATTTACTGGATAGGATATAGGCTATATTTAACATACAAAACCATTCCACCAAGGAGACCGGAAGTGCAACACTGCTGGCCGATTTGGTCAAATTATGGTGGGATCACAGAACTGAAATTTGGGATAATTTGAAATACCTAACCTATAATTTGATTAGTTTTTCTTCTTATTCTTCTTCTATTCCTTTTGCGGGCGATGTCCTTCGGGAAAATTTACCCATAATTTTATTTTTTATGAAAGAAAATATAAAAATGGAAACGTGAAGCATATTGTGTCTTCAGGAATAAACGTTTATTGTTTATTTCATAGTAATGCTATCCGATACTGCCTACATAAATAGCAGATAAAGGATTAGTTCTAAAGTACCTATAGTGGAAAGAAAAATTCTTAAAACAGCACTAGGGATTTTTTATAACTTATAAGGACTACAACTAAAAGATATTGGTAATAGAAATAACAACCTCGAGTTAGAACTACATAGATGATTGAATTACTTTAGGGAACAAGTATGAATCGAGAATCGGTGAGTTTGTTTGTTACAATAGAACCAGAAAGAACAGGGATATTAATATGGTTAAAAGATGTAGAAGATTTAAACAATACCTGTGAAAATGTTTAACAGAGAGAACAATATGGATTCATGCAACTAAACCGATTAGAATTGGAACTGATCTAGTGGTGTTTTTAGGAATATGATTTATATTAAGAATTTTGAATAATAATGTTGGTAGGTAGCTTATAATTGCAAAGTTAATTTTAGATGTTGAAATAATATATTTTAATTACCTACACCTGTCTAGGAACGTTGATTAAATTTACCGATTATTACCACTGTTAGAAATTTTAGTTAACATTTCTAACTCTTCCAGGTCAATATATGGTCTTTTTCTTATCTCTCTAACTATTTTTACACTATACAAACCACACTGAAATTTGTGTAACTCATAAATATATGTTCTCAAAAATTGTTCTAGTAAAATACTGTTATGACGTAAATTTCATGTAGAATATTCGAATGTAATTTACAATTAAATAAAGAACAAATTTAAAGCCTTAACATAATTTTTACAATTATGCAAATAATGATTTAAATATTTTTTAAATGAAATAGAGGAAATCATGGAAAAAGGTAAAAAAATAATCATTTATATTTCTTGTAATATTTTTATTATTATAAAAATGATATAAAATACCTAATATTTTTAAATGCATTACCAACAGAGTCTTCGTTTGTATTTTATCAATGCAGGATAGCTCAAAATGGTCTGAACATAATCGCATTACTGCACTTACAATATTAAAATTGGTCATATCCATACTCTTCGGCCATTTCCCCAAAAGCTCCAATTCTGTAGAAACCTGAAATAACAAGAACATTATTTAATTTAGTAATAATCGTTATAATTCACTTCAGTTTTTATCATTTAATCAAAAAATGTTATTTGTATTCTTGTATGCTTGTGGTAATTAGTAATTGTTTCAGTTTGTTTCGACAAAATACTTAGATCTATTAACAAATTATTAAAAACATAGTTGTATTTACCTATGAAGAGTACGGATACTCTTTTCACTTTGTTTTCCATAATAAAAACATCTCATCGTAATTTGTTGACACAATTAAATTACAAATGGAAATAGAGGTTATATTAAATAACATCCGGTCCGCCATAATATTTGCCCAAATCGGCCAATTTTTCGGAACGTTTTTTAGGGGCTATATCCTATCGAGTAAAATAATACAGATCAGTGCCCATGGCGGATAAAGTACTTTATTATTTTTTTCTCTATTAGGGATAGCAATTATTATCAGCTATACTGTCTGCTATTTCTTTTTGTGGTACTATACCAGTTTTTAACAAAATTTATGTATTCAATGCAACTTTAGGTACCTGTTATACTGCAAATAAATTATTATTAATTTTATTTTAGTTATATACAAAAGTTCTACTTTTCGACTATGTTTTCTGTCCAAAAACCGACATTTTTTGACACATTCGAATAAAAAATATTTTACGAAAACCTTCCTCTTATACCTTTACCACCACAGCCTATTGTGACACGCTGGGTTACTGAAATTGTGAGGAATAAATTGGAAATGGTTTTAAACAATAATCCAGGATTCTCCACTGTCTTTAGACTTTTTCACAATAAAACATAAATGTGCCATCTCTGATTAATTACAGAAATTTTATACATGCCCCGTGACGTCTGTGGATGTGGAAAGACCGTTTTCTGCATATAAATGGATTTTATGTGACAAACGTCAACGTTTAACTTTAGAACGTATGGAACAGTTGTTTATAATTTATTGTAATTCTGTTACAAATCAATAGTAATATTTCTTGTGCTCTATAAATGAACCTGCTTCTGTGGCGCCATCTAGTGAAGTAAAGTGATAACGACAGCTGTTTAGTTCGTTCGTGCTTGTTAATTTGCACATACTTTGATGTGTTAATTTGTTATGTGTTCTGTCAAATTTGGAAAACATAATTGCAACATTGCCGGATTGTGATAAAATTAGTAGTTAATGGAAAATTGTGATTGCCCATACCGGTCCATAAATATGCAACAAGAAAACGAAGCAACGACTTATCGTAGGGTAGTTGCTTCGCCGCCATCATACGATAAGTCGTGGACTCAGCTCAGATTGAATAATTGAAATGAAAAGTCTCAAATAAACACATTTATATTCTGGTTTTATCATCTGGAGCTATTGAAAAAACAGACACTGTCATTCCTGTTAGATACGTTCTTTTACTATGTTTGACAACTGCACATTTATAGAAATAAAAATATCAGTTGTCATATTATTCCTAAACAAAAAATAATATAGAACGGTATTACCATGAATATATTTATTTAGAACAAATAACAAAAAGCAATTGGCAACATCGCTAAAATTATTGAAACGGCTACTTTTGCATGCGCTAAATCATTTGAAGATCAATGCTGGGTTCATTTGTAGAACAAGTCTTCATAGTAGAGCACAAGAAATAGACGCTAATAATAGTATTGATATACGTATATAGTGTTTAGTAGTGTAGACTATGGAGTAATGCAGTGTACAGTGGCGTAGCCGAGATCTACGAGAGGGGGTTCCATCAACAAAGTGAAATATTTTATATAAATAAAAATTTCCTTGGTGTAATCGGTCATAAATTTTATTTTATATCGTTACGGTCTGGAAATTATGCTTATTCAAATGAAATATTTTAGAAAAGATTGTTTTTATTATAAATAGTAAATAAATAAATTTTTTATAAAACGATAAAAAAATGAATAAAAACAGTCAATAGCGATCAACGCCAGTACGATAGCGGAAACGGTGACGCGAAGGCCTTCCAGGGGGGGGGGAGGCGTTTTGATCTCCAAAACCCTACGTGGCTACGCCACTGATAGTGTAATTGTGTAAAATAGAACTCAGAATAGTAGACTGTAACAAGGTAGGAATAAAAATTAGATACGGGTGGAAGATTCTAAACGCCAGTATCTGCGAGCGTGAAAAACAACGGATTTTCATTCCAACAGAGTAACAGACTGTACTTTCTCCACGGCCACAGATACAATACGAGTTGAATATAGTAAAATGAAACTTTAAAAAAATTAAATATTTAATCTAACTTATGTTAGGCAAGTTTTTACTTTTATGTTCGACTTAAACAAATGCTGCTTATCTTTATTTAAACAAATTCAAACTAAATAATAATAATACAACACGTAAAACTGTCAGTCATTAAATTCATGGGTATCTATGTTTTTATGTTCACAGTCATTATCCAGTAGCTATTACAGAATGAACATTCTTTCTCTAGAGTTAGAATTAAATATTTAGGTTTGAAATATATAAGAGGCAAGTATTTCAGAATTTTCTTTTAATTTCAAGAGCGCGAATGATTACTTTTTGTTTCTTAAATGGTTTCGGAAGAACTAAATTCAGTAGTGGCTGTGGAGATATGTAATTCCAAATTTTACAATTTTGGCTAGAATGTCTTTCTCATATAAGCGGTAGGTAACTATACTGAAATATTATCTTGATACTATGAATATTATCTTTGAATTGATGTAAAACTTTAGGAACAACCCCGGTGTTTTCTATATTAATTATAAAGATAAGCTACCAAATGTATTAGGTAAGAGTACTTTATATTTTATGTATCATTTTAGCGTAAATATTTTTGAATGCGTGCGCTATTCTGATTCCACATATGTTATTTACGTCGTGACCAGGGCCGGCTCTAGCATGTTTTTCACTGTGTGCAAAATCCTTAGTTGGCGCCTCCCGCCTATCTAGCCTAACTACTACAATTTTTTTTTCTAACTTTAATTTCAGCAAACTGTCTTATGATTTTTGTGATATTGGT